ACCCTTTTTCCTAACCTGTCAGTACAAAACTATGTTATTGTGTTTAAATTAACTGTGTGTGTAATTAATAAATCAAATCATGTTGTGTGCAAAAAACAAAAGAAGCAAATAAACTTTTCCTGGAGGTACGGATAAATTGTCAAATTAAAAGCACCCGAGTGCTGCGATACTTTTAATTTGGGTTTGACTCGGAGCCTCTGAGGGGGTCTGCGGTGTGTTTGTGGTGGAAGATTAACTGCAGAGAAGGAAGTCTTCCTCCGGCTGGGGGCAGCGGTGCCCCTGCTGAGAATCAGCCGAGGTGTGACGGAGGGGATTCCAGAGCACGCAACAAAAGGCAGACACTTTGATTAGAGCAGCGGTAGTCAGAAACACACACACACACACACACACACACACACACACACACACACACACACACACACAGAGTTCCTGAGCCTCGGCAGCCCTGCCCTCAGGTCTCAGGCTGGTTGAAAGATGGGGGAAACTCCAGATGCTTTGCAGCAGTTGTGGGCTGGGAAGAAGGAGGGTGATGTAGAGGATTGGCAGGAGGAGGAGGACACTGATGGAGGGCTGGAGTTACGTATGAAGTGGAACAATGCAGCGGCAGCAGCAGCAGTGGAGGCCTAAATTAATAGTAAGGCTACGGAGGGTTTTCTGGGCCCCGGGGAGCGTTTCAAACGGAGAAGGGAGGGCGGCGGCGGCGGCAGCTACAGAGGAGGACGGGTGGGGTGAAAGGAGGTTCCACAGACTCGGTATGATGGATGGACTGGTGAGGAAGAGGGGGAGGAGGGGAAGAGGTGGGAGCTTCAAAAGAAAAATGAGCCAGACTGCTGCTGTGATGCAGTGGGAGGGAATGCAGGCCAGAGGAACATGTGGGGATCTCATAACCAGAAGAGGGTTTTGCAACGCGGCCGCAGTCCTGAAGAAAGAGACGTTCAGAGAAGAGACACCAACTAAACACTGTTGTTCCAAAGCTGGCTTCCAGTCAGGGTTCTTTTTTCTTCTTTTTTTTTTTTCAATGGCCCCATTTGAATGGAAACAAACTGTACAGCAGCGAGCTATTCACCTGAACACTGCAGCGGGTCCACGGAGATGTCACTGGATACAACACCCAGCCATTACACCTTTCAAGATGCCTCTGTGGCTTTAGTGGTAGGCATAAACCTTTTGACTGGGGTTAACTTCGGGGCTTTTAAAACATGATCCAGCCACTCCCCCCCCTCCCACCGCCTTCTCTCCTCCCTAAATGCAGACAGGCAGAAATGAAAACCTCTCCTAACACACACCTACTTGCTCCCTCCTTCAGGGCCTGCTAAAGCCATTATGGCTCTAAAAGAGATGGTATCGGCTCCAGGCAGACAGGCAGACAGACAAATACTTAGTTGGACAGTTAGATATGCCTGCAAACTAAGACGCCTGTGTGCTCGGGACAGGCCGGCTAAATGTCTGGCTGCTCTTCAGAGGCTCTCAGGTGTGACCGGCCGGCCTCCCTGTGTACCGCAGCCAAGACGGCAGACAGACAGACACAGAGGTGTTTCTGTGAGCCTGGAGTCGGGTGAATATCTGCTCTATCTCCCCCCCGTCACAGGCCAGCGTACGCTCCCGCCAGCAAGTCAAACACAAGCCAGATCTTCTTTCCCGCACAACTATGCAGGCTTTCACCGAGCTAATGCATATTTTTAGTCTGAGCCAAGGTCAAACATTTTGCCAAAGACCTGCCTGACACGTAGTTTCTCCCAGCAGCTGCGGTTTCCAGCATGTGATGACTAACTTTGCATTCGAATCAAAGACTGTAGCCAGACCACAGATGCATTGCACCAGGATTTTAAGAGAGGATGATGGAGGCTTTGGTTCTTAGCTTAAATCGTACACGTCCTCCTCGCTGCACCAAACGTTGGTGGAGCCTGAACCCCCCCACAGAAGAAGCCCCGGCGTCCCCCCTCCCTTCACACACACACACACACACACACACACAC